GCGGGTCCTGGGCGGGTCCTGGGCGGGCCCTGGGCGGGTCCTGGCCGCAGGGCCTCCCTGGCTGGCCTGCTCCCTGGCGGAGCCGTCTTCTAGGGTTCTCAAGCTCCGCTGGCTGGCCAGCCTTTCTCTGCCACATTTCTGAGGCTGGAGAGCAGGGTGGACTAGCCCGAGTGTCCAAGCAGCCCAGGCTGGGTCGCTCCAGCTGCCCCTCCTGATCCCCAGGAGGCCTGGACCCCCTGGTGCGGGGCCTTCTCGCCAGGCCCGCCAAGCGGCAGCTGCAGGACCAGCTGGTGAGCGAGGAGCTGACCCAGCACCTCTTTGTGCCGCCCGGCCCGGACACCCTGGACCTGGCGTCCCTCAACCTACAGAGAGGCCGGGACCATGGCCTGCCAGGTGGGCACCGTCCGCTCTCCCGGATGGCGGGGCCTTCACTCCCATGGCACAAGCCTGCCCCGCCAGACACACCCGCCCCGCCCCCGCAACAGGCTTCCTCCCCACCCGGGGCGCCAGGACCCCCAGCTGGGGTTCCCCCACTACGCAGCCCTGCTGGGCCCCTGCAGCGGCCGCCAACCCCTCATCTCTGCCCTCAGTCAGTTCACATCTGGGGATCTGACACCCTCTTCTGCAAATATCCTGGACGTAGCGGCCAGACCCCACATCCCAGTCCTCCATCCTCAGCCACAAAACCCCAGAATCTCAGTCCTTAGCCCCCAAAATCTCAGGCCCCAGCCCCCCATCCTCTCCACCCTGGTCCTCAGCCCGGACCCTGGGCGCATCAGTGCGGAGCTGCTGAGCGTCACATGGTGGGTCACGTCTGCTGTGACTGGAGGGGACCAGGCTGTGAAGCTGAGCCCCCTTGGCCAGCCTGGGGGTCAGGGCACCCCCTCCAGCGCTCAGCAGCTCCCTCCCAGCCCAGGGGAAAGGAGAGTTCTTCCAGGTTAACTGTCTCAAGGGTCCTAGCAGGAAACCCCGAGAGCCGTCCACTGTCACCATCCCTTGTCCCCAGTGGGGCCCCTGGCTGGGGGGAGGGCCCAGCCCGGAGGGGGACTGGACAGAGCGCCCAGGTGGTGCCCCCAGGGAGGACGGGCGCCAGGCTCAGCCGCAGGACCAGGCCGCAGAGTCTGGGTACGACGCCCGCAGGGTACAACGCGTGGAGGGAGTTCTGCGGCCTGCCCCGGCTGCGGAGCCTGGCCGCCCTGCAGGCCGCCATGGGCAACGGCAGCGTGGCCGCCCGCACGCTGGCCCTGTACGGGCACCCCGACAACGTGGACGTCTGGCTGGGCGGCCTGGCGGAGCGCGCCCTCCCCGGGGCCCGGACGGGACCCCTGTTCGCCTGCATCATCGGGAGGCAGATGAAAGCGC